CAGCAGAGGTATGAAGAAAGGCTGTGTTCTTTCACCATTACTAAATTCGTAACAAGGATCCGGATAAAAAATGAAGATATTGAACAAGTGGACACAATGAAGTACTTAGCAGTCTGAATTACTGACGATCTAAATCCAAAATTCGATCAAGAATAAAGCAATCAAGAGGAAATTTCTGAGTAACCAAAGACTCAATCTGCAAATCCGATATGTGGATGATACAATGTTATATCCACTCTATTCTTCGTTATGATGCCAAAACTTGTTAATGTTGACTTAATGAGAAACCTGAAAGCTTTTGAGATGTGGCTTTTTGGAAGAATTTTGAAAATACTATGGACCGATCATATTACGAACGAAATGTAGCACAGAATGTGAAGGGGACAGAGAACTTTTGACCATCATGAAAAGGAGAAAGACAGCATATTTGGAGCACATTCTTAGAAATGAGAAGTACGAGTTGTTGCAGCTGATTATGAAGGGTAAAATAGGAGAAAAAGGGGTCCTGGTAAACGACAAATATCCAGGCTGAAAAGCATTCGAGACTGTACCGGGTTAAACACAAACGCTTTTAAGAAAAGCAGAAGGTAGATATGAATTTGCAATGGTTATAGCCAACCTTCACTATTGGAGTCGACACTAGAAGAAGAACCATTGCTCTGCAGAGACGGTATAGGTCAAATTCTCAAAACACTAAATAATTGAGCATTTGTATTTTTGTTTTTAAATACAATTTATGTAAACAGCTAATACAATACATTTTTCTTGAGACACAAAAAAAAACAAAAATACTGAGTCAAAAATATTGTAGATCTTCAATTATTTTCCTCACATAAACTTTTGAGTTTTATTATTTTTGAAATCATCTAGCATATTTTTTAAATGCTTTCCTCCAATTATTGGTCTCTTAATATCTGTTTCTGTATATGCTCCATTATTATAAAATTCCTGCTGTCAGTTCAATATCAGCTGTTCAATCGCATGAGTCTTAATGCACAAGGAAGACTATCCAAACAGTGCGTTAGTCGCTTGCGACTGCTGCTTGCATGAAACGCATGCGACAATTGTATATCATCATCACCCCCCACCCCTTTGCGTCCACTGCTGGACATAGGCCTCCCTCATTTTTGTCCATTGTGCTCTACTTGAGCACTTTTCATCGAATTTCTCGACATTTTCTTGAGATCGTCAGTGCAAGGAGTATGGGGTCTTCCTCTACTTCTTTTGTCTAACCTCGGCCTCCACTCAAGCAATCTCTTCATCCACCTTTCATCACTGATTCGGGCGACGTGTCCGGCCCAGTTACATTTCAGTGTGGCAATTCGAGAAATTACATCGGTAACTCCTTTTCTTCGTCTTAAATATTCATTTCTAACTCGGTCACGAAACGATATACTCACCATAGATCTTTGAATTTTCCTGAGCTATTTGCAGCATTTTCGAACTTGTAGCTTTTAATGTCAAAGTTTCGGCACCATAGGTCATCACAGGCAAAACACATTGGTTATATGTTTTACGTTTTAAAGAAATTGGTATATCGCTTTTAAAGGTGTCCATAGGTGTTTTCCATAGGCTGCCCATGCTAGGTTTATTTTTCTTTGTAGTTCACATATTTGATTGTCTCTTGTGATCGTTATTTCGTATCCAAGATATATGTATTTTCCATCAGCTCTACTTCGTTGTCTCCAATATTGATATTTCTGCTAGGTACTAGGTTTGTCATGAATTTTGTTTTGGAGATGTTTATTTAAAGACCCACGCTGACACACACTAACTGACGTTCATGTAGCATTGTACATATTTCCTTGAGGTTGTCCGAGAACAAAGCTATGTCGTCTGCGAACTTCAAATTTGTTAATCTTCTACCGTCAATGTTCAGGCCTTTCTCTTCCCAGTTAAGTTTTTTACAAGCATATTCTAGTACTGCGGTAAATAGTTTAGGCGATAAGGTATCACCCTGTCGGACTCCTCTGCCGATTGGGATATGAACCGTATTTTCATGTAGTTTCACCGAGATAGTTGCGTTTTTTATGTGTTGTAAATTAACCTTGCATATCGGTAGTCAAAGCGGCATGCTTGTAGTGCTTCCAGAATTTTGTCAAATTCTATCGTGTCAAAGGCTTTATGGAAATCTCCAAAAGCCAGAACGAGTGGTCGATTGTATTCGATAGTCTTTTCTATTGCCGTTTTAAAGCTCTGTAGGTAATCAATTGTTCCAAATCCGGTACGAAATCCCGCTTGCTCTATTGGCTAGTAGAAATCAAGTTTTTTCTCAAGACGATTCGTTACTATTCTTGTAAGGAGTTTGTATAGGTAACTAAGAAGACTTATAGGTACGTAGTTTTCTAATTCATGGAGATCTCCTTTTTTGTACAATAGAATAACCTCAGCATTGTGCCATTCGTCGGGTATATTACTATCCAAAAGGCATATGTAAAAAAGTTTTTTATTTTCTTAAGTAAGCAAGTGCCTCCGATTTTGATCGCATCAGTAACTACACAATCTTCGCCTGGAGATTTGTCATTCTTGGCTTTTCTTAAGGCTAGTTTTATTTCGTCCATTGTGATTTCCGGTTGTAGTTCTGATACTTGGTTGACAACGCTCTTTTTCCTTGTTAATATTTCTGGTACTTGATCTTCTCTGCTATTTGCTTTGTGTTGGCTTATGTACAGCAATTTGTAGAAGTCTTCAACTATTTTAATGGTTTCCTCTCTGTTGGTTGTAAGATGACCATTTGTATCTTTAATCTTTATTATCTGCCTTGTCCCCGTTATTAGTCTATTTTTCAATACTTTCATACTTCTATTGTTCTCAATAGTACGTTCGATTTGTTCTTGGTTGTATTTTCGAGTATATTGTCTAACAGCTTTAGATATTTCTTTATTTTATTCTTGTAGTTCGTCGGCTTTAGTTTCCGTCTCGCTTCTCATTTCTCTTCTTTTCTGCATTAGTTGCCTAGTATTTTGGCTAATCTCTTCTTTTTGAGTTCTAGGACAGAATTTGTTTTGACTTTCCAGTAAAGCATTTGTTAATTTAATATTTAGTCGTTTATATTATTTTCTGTTTCAGGACTACTAAGTATGTCGGAAATACATTGCTGAAAACTATCTATATCTAATGGTTTCATCCATGGTTTTGATTTGTTCTTCTTTTTAACCATCTTATACCTCTCCTTCTTTAAGCTTATTTCTGTTTTACCTCGTACCATTCTGTGATCGCTACTGGTAACAAATTGTTTAGAGCCGTCATGTCTTTAACGGTGTGTTTTTTGTCTGTGATAATAGAATCGACTTCGTTTTGAGTTTTTCCATTAGGACTTTGCCATGTCCATCTTCCCTGTGGTTTCTTTTTAAAACAACTGTTTATTTGGAATAGTACACGTTGCAGCATGAACCTTATTAGTATTTCGCCACGTTCATTTCTACCATCCAAGCCAAAATTTCCCAGTGGTGTTTCTGTAGGGTCTGTTTTGGCATTAAAATCACCACATATAAAAGTAAAATGCCCTTGATGCTATTTAAGAGCAGTTTCGATATCATCATAGAATAGATCCATTTCTGTATTATTTTCATATTATACCTTGTATTCAATTTGAGAGTAAGACAAATCACTCTTGTAGAAAATTTCTTTAGTAATACTATACTTGTTTGGAGACGCTTGTGTATAATGAAGCCGGTACCTCCCAAGGAATTATTGTCGTCATCTACATGATAAAAACTATGCCCCGATTTTAGTTTAATTAAGTGTTCGCCACGTCTTCTGACTTCGATGAGACCGACTATGTCCCACTTTAAATGGTCAAACCACATTTCTAATTTGAAATCCAGGTTAAGTAGCGCATGTTATGCATTGAGAATTCTTTCACGTCTCTTTCATACATTAATATTAAAAACAGTATACTTTGCCCATTTTTACTCAATAGCCAAATATGGCATTGAAGTCTGGGGTTGTACCTCTGAATTAGAGCAGATATTCGTACTTCAGAAAAGAGCTATTAGGATAATTTATAAAATGACATTTAGAGATTCTTGTAGAGGCATCTTTAGACAAAACAATATTCTTACAATTCCTGGTCTGTATATATTTTCATACATAATGTATTTGCATAGCAAAATTTATGAATTTAATAAAATTCAATTTAGCCATGTTTATTCAACAAGATTCAGAGACAATCACTTTATGCTTCCACAACATCGTTCTGTTTTGTTGGAAGGTAGTACACATTATGCAGCCATAAGTTTCTTTAACAAATTTCCAATAGATATACGAATGAATTTACATCAGCCAAACTTTCGGAGGTGTGTACATCAATATATTTGTGAGTACATACATGTACTTTGTATAATGTCGCATGTGAACAATAAATTTGACTTGACTTGACCACTTTATGTTTTCTAGTTCGCACTCAAGTTCAGTAGATCTTTAAACAAAACTAATCGTAAATTAAATTTATACACTTTGGTTGGTGTTTCTTATTTATACAGGTTTTTTGAACGTATTTCATACGCAGTATAATTTATTAACACGCTTTTCCTACGATCCATAGTAAAAATATATGAAGTACTCGTGTACAAATCTCAGTGCCATAGATATTTGTTCTTTGAACTCTTCACCTGCTTCTGAAGAAGCTACCTAAAAGAGTAGTGAAACATTGAGGTGGACCTACGCACAGGTCATCCAAATAACATCCGAACTAAACCAGAAAGACGATTAGTTAATATAGAAACTTAGTATTTGATTATTTAACCGTTTAAAACTTTTCACATATTATTAGAATTTGTTTCGACTCTTTAATATTCGAGTTTCAATTGGATATTTCATTTACTATAATTTACAAAGCAAGGTACAAATATTATCTTAGTTGTCACATCTAATTACAAAAGGACAAAAACTATGAACCCTCTTTCTTGAAATAAAAAAAAATTAATTTATTGTTCTAAGGTAGAATACTCTTATGGTTTCTAAAGGATTATGTGTACTTTAATTGAAACACAATAATATCAGGCAATACTATTTTCTATATTGAGTATTTGACTGTTATAAAGCTGTATTCAATAAATCACTTGGTATATCTTCTTTACCAGAAGCAATCTGTATCAAAAATTGTCTCATTCACCTTTTGGCCATTATTGGGATTGTTTTAAAATTTGTGTCGAAAAACTCTATCCTATTACATCAAAACCAGTCTTATCTAAGCAATAGTGGCCATTTTATAGTTAAAAAATAACAAGCTACCATTTTCAATTATTTGATAACACATTCGAGACCAAATGAAAGACGAAAAAAAATTTTCATATTTTTTATATGAAAACATTTAATTACAAGTGTTGAGATTATATTGTCGATACATACTGCTCCTTATACATAGTACAAGGTGGTTATTCTATAACATTGTATTCTTCTGTCTGACTAGTCAATTGACAAAAAACTCTTATGTACAAAAATAATTCAGCATTTCGTCCACCGAAATTAGTTTCTTGGATCAAATATTAAAGACGGTTTATTATAGGTACCACGGCATTTAAGATTCATGATCAAAGAAATATCTATATAAAACGTTAGAACAATAACTTCAATCATCTTTGATAAATTTTAAATATTTGGTATAATTTTGTACTAAAATTAAATTATCAATATTAGTATAATATATTCTATAGGATAGCCACCTTGATTTATAAAAAGAATACTAGTTGTGCCTTAAAAAACTAACACTAAAAATTCAATAACTTAAAAAATCATATATACAAAAAACAAACAAAATATATAATCAATATGACCAGATATACATAGGTTTGTTATCAATTAGTCACTATCTGATAAACTGGTCATTAAAAGATATTTGTACTATAAACATAATAGAGGAAAAATTCTGTAATCTTTGCATTATTATTAACCAGTATTGTACTAAAACATAACCTGCAAACTCTGAAAGATCGACTCGACCATCAGAAACATGTATTTCAACAGATCCAAATTCTTTTGATAGTATTCATTCAGTAATCCTAACGGTGGAGACCATCTTTAAAATTTGAGCGATGTCAATAAAACACTTATAGTTTTTGGAAAATGTTGATGGTTTAGATTGTAAATACTAAAATTACGAGTAGAATAGGCTCTCTTTATTTCGCTTCAAACGCCATTTATTACCACTGGTTTCACCCAAATTACTCATTTTATTCAGACTTAGTTTTTCTGTGAACCTCGGGTACCGAACCTGGATCTCCCGCGTTAATCAACAACTCTAGTATATAGAAAGATTATCCGAAACATAAATGTTAACAGAATTAAAGTTACGACAAATATTCGACTAGAAAAAAGATTAGGGAGTAAAGTTTTCAGTGTAATGGTATAGAAGAAAGCTGATAAAAGACTGTAGTTACGAATCGTTATAGAAATAGATTTGAAGTAAGAAATAGAAGCACGATCCTAATATCACCAAACATTTAATAATCTCTCCCACTACTCTAGTGGTAGAAAAAAAATTTAAAAATTCTTACTAAAAGTAGATAGACTCGTGTTTTGGTAGTCGAAGTTGTACATGTTTAGAGTGGGCTGAGCTGATTATTTGCACTGCGACTGACTAATAACGAACTTACTGTTTTCTGTCTATAACGTTTATAGCATGCAGAAAATTCCTTAAAACTATCTTATATTCAAATAACAAAAATTTTGTAGTACGTCCCTGGGCCAAGTATTAAATATTCCCCAATTTTCTGTTTACATTGTGAGGTAAAAGAAAATAATTCCAAATTCCAGTTATTAACCATAACGAATATATGGTTTTATTTATTTGTATACGTTTTAGTTTTACGATTTTAAAAAGCTGTTTAATTCAAGGTCGTTTTGCGATATGTTTAACCAGAAGTTTGGGTTGTTTGATTGCAAGAGACGGTGAAAAGGTGAGACGCAAAACTGGTAGCCCCGGCCGATATCGAAGGTCGAGAGAATTCAAGTTTCAGTTTGGAAGATTTGGTCAAAGGGGTAGACGTATTTAGTGGTCGGTCAAAAACCGGCAAATTTGTAGAAAATAGTGGAATTATACTCTATGTCATATGTCAGTTTAGAAAGAGTGATCACTATTTATGTCGCCTGCAGCAATTTTGAAAGATTCATGTTTTATTTTCCAGTTTTGAGAGAAGCCGAGGTCTGTGTCTGGTGCCGCTAATTTCAACCTAAAACTTCAACATCCTAAGCAGTCGTTTTAAAATACTTTTCGCAGTGTGAGATGCAGTCTTTTGCGTAGCAGTAAATCTCCAGTAAAATTCCAGTGCCCAACACCTCAGAAATGTACAGTAAAAGTGCATTTTAGTGAAATCAAGACAACTTCTTTGTTTTAAACTTCTAAAGGAAGAATAAACATTAATAGTTTGCTTTCATAATTGAAAAAAAAAGAAATTGTAATAATTAATATTGCAAATCTTAGGGTGTGGCTATGCTGTCATTTTAATTGTTCTCCGTTTAAGATTTAGATTATTTTTGACATCTAGTAATTATCTAATCATATTTGAGAGTTTTGTTTTGTTTTTAGAAAAAGGTTAACCTTCATGAATAGTTTCATCTAAAAAGATATTTCTTTATGTAATGACTTATTTCTGCCACAGTTTATAGCCCAGTAACATTTTTGTAAGTTTTGTAGCATCTCCCACTTGTAAACAGACTTTGTAAATGAATAGGACATGCAAGTTTTTCTTCTTTATTATTTTAGTATAAATCTATGTAACTATTTTTAAGTTTTAATTAAAATATAGTATTTTTTGTGCCATCTATATTTTGTAACTGTTTGTGTTGAGACAACAATAAATGTTCTCTAAACCAATTTGTTTATTTCAAATTTTAAAAAAGTCTCCTAACCCTTTTGTGTTTCTTTTTTAGGAAGGAAGAGCCTTTTTCCTTCATCCAGCAGGAGGATCCTTCGAAGCGGCGTCCATTTTAAACAGCTAGAGGTCCTTCTTGTTGTTTTTGTTTGTTCATTTGTCAAGGAGATTCATGTAAGTACCTTGTGTTTCATTTTTGTAGTTGCCCCAATCCAATCCCATTCTGCCATTAACTTATCTACGATCCAGCTTTCCAAATAAACCCTGAGTGCCGTTCGCATAAGTATCGTTTATTTTACTTGCCCTATCTCCACCCCCAACAAGTATTTTCTGTTCCTGCTAAGAAAGTCCATAGAGCATATCCCGAACCTTTGTGACCTTTTGATAGTGTTAAAGTCCTAGATTCGTTATGTTCCGTCTCTGCTACCAGTTTGTATATATTATTAGTTATTCGTTTGTATATGGTCCAGGAAATAAAACCTGTTTTACAGTCAAATGCTGAGTTTCTTTTTAAGACCATCTTGGATAGAAAATAAAATCCCATTCATAAAGATCTTAAAAGAACCAAAGGACAGAATACGTTACAAACCAGAACTAAGTATGAAACACCTAATTAAGCCACAAAAATGTTATCACTAATACCACAAGTTACAATTGACGAAACCTAAATGTGAACAGCAAAAATTTAATGGTTTAGCCTTTAGCTTCGATTTAGACTATGCATTATCATCGTTCGTCTTATTAAAATTTGACAGACTTTAAAAATAGTTCTCAAATAAATTTTTAAAAACGGGTCAGCATTTTTGAAAGCAAACTGTCAATCCAGACGTCCAAAAAAAATTTCAGAAAAAGTTTCCTATGACATATGTCCATTTTGTATTTCACTAATGACTTCTTGAGTAATTAAAGTAACCTTACTAATCTCATTCCTCTGGGAAAGCATACAGTGTTATGTGGCTTTGTTTTAGAAAGTTTAAGCAACTATACCTACAGAAATTGAAATCGTTTTTGTAGCTTCCATTTCATGTTACATTCCAATTTAGAGCTGATTCTCTAAATAAGTTGGGAAAGTTATTGATGGGTTCCCAAGAGAAGCGTTGATATTTGCCTACAAAAATTAATATTGATAATAATTCAGAACCAGTCGATATCGATTTGAAAATACATTAAAAAGAATGAAAATTATTACCAAATAGTACTCCACATTGCTAATAGTTTTTTAAACATATTTTTAAAAAGTAATCACACTTTTAATGACCAGTTGATCTCCAAAAAACCAAATGACTAAAATGAAAAAATAAAATCAACACTCACACGGATAGCACATATTTTTAATTCTATTTTGGAGTTCACGAGAACGGACTTACTGTCGGTTATTTTGTTTTTGGAAGAGGACGTACTAGATAGAGTTTCTCGCCTTGTTTGTTGGTATAGATAGGTGCCCTCTGGTAATGGTCTACCAGCTGGTCCAAAGTATGGAATTTTCGTTGTCCTATGCAATACAAGGCGCCCTCTACGTGAACGCGAAAATGTTTGTTTCTACCTGGCGCTTTCAATGATACGGAATAGTCGCCCATCTGAAACATTTGTACATGTAAGGAAAATATTTAACACTCGCCTCTTTAACATGTTATTTTCCAACACTACATAATTTAAACTAGATTTCAGAAAAACTAGTCAGAAAATCTTCATAAGTTGTATTATATCTATTACAAATGCTTAATAGATAACCCACACAGTTGAAATAATAACTGGATAGCAGTCAATATAATCAATGATAAAGAAATATATATAAAATACTTACATTTGTTTCGCTATCCCTAATAAGAAAGTCGCCGTCATGGCCGTGTTGATTTAGTAAATTATCACACACATACCTCGTGATATTACCATAATACCATGGTTTATCAATAAGGTGCGGCTTTTCTACCATGGAAACTTGAGATCTTTCCATGGAGGTTTCCATAGTGCTGGGTCTGTTTCTCTCTTGTAAGGGACGGTCCAAATAATCATTCAGTTCTTGAAGGTAATTTCTAGGAACAAGACCAACTTGAGCTTGAGAATTTCTAGCTTTGTACCTAGGAGAGAAATAAAGTTTTTCTGAGTATGCCTTATAATAATAGAACTGTCAAAATTTTAAAAATACATAACAAATCTCTTCTTATGAATTAAAACTTTATAAAATTCCGTGAGTCTTTGATGTAAAAAGACATTTTTCGTTTGTAATAATTTATTTCTGCTACAAAATGTAACCCAACCATAATTTAAGTTCTTATAATAGTGTCCAAAACGTCTAGAGTTGTAAACCGATGACAGACATTGTAACTTGTTTTTGTTATTTTGTTATTATTATTTATATTTGTAACTGTTTATGGTGAGATAATAATAAATATGAAATGTATCTCCCTAAACCAAGAGTATTTACTTCTTTAAAAAAGATTCTAACACTTTGATGTATTTTTTAGGAAAGAAAAGCCTATCTTTCCATCCAGCAGGAAGATTCTTGTAAGCGGTGTCCATTGTAAATAGCTTAGGAACCTTCTTGTGTTCTGTTGTCCAGGAAATCCATGTAAGTACCTTTTTAATTCACTTTTTTTGGTTACCTTTTCCAGTCCCCCTTTTTATTCACTGACCTACGACCCAGCTCTACAAACAAACCAAGAGTAGCCGTTTGCAAACGTTCCGGTTTGTTTTGCTTACCCTATCCCCAGCTCAGTAATTTCTGTCTCCATTTCTCAACCCCCTATAGGTGATCCTAATGTGGTAGGAATTATAACCGCTAAACGATTAATAATTGTTTGCCAGAGTGGTAGATTTTAAAATTTTTCGATTTAATTTACCTAAATCAATGAAAATCCTCTTAAACGACCTGCAACTTATCTAATGCCTAAGGATGACATCCAAATGAACTTGTATAAAAAAATCCTATTTAAATAAATAAAAAAAAAGGCTAAAGATGGTATTAACAACAGCACTAATACAGTTATTTCTCAAAGTAATCTAGTCGTCAGAGACTTGACCTCTAAAAATCATACAAACAAGCTAAATTTAGCTGAAACATTTTTTTTCTATGGCGTAGATTCTTGGTAAATCGATGTTTTCCGTTATCCCCCATACGAGGGAAGGGTTTTAGTGGGAAACTTTTGTGCATTTTTTTGGGGTCCCAAAATTGGCATTCTCTGCAAAAAACAGCTTGTTCATATGATTTTAAGAGAGTTAATGATATTTTCGTCTGTGGCAACTTAAGTAAACGTATATTATTAAGAACGTAACTCTACATTATTTTCAATTCTAATTCAAGTGCCGTCAAAACAATAACACGTTTGAACAACATGAACAGAAAATGAAGTGTATGTAAAACTTTTAATCATTTATAAATATGATTTAAAAAATGTAAGTTTTCTTAGCGTGCCTCTTCTTTAATTATATTGGCGATCCTTACGGCCCATTTTAGTCTGTCTACAGCAGTTCTAAACAGTTCTATTGTTGTTTTTCCACTTCACTTCTTTTAATTTTTCAACCAACACATGTGTCGTGTCCCCAGTCCTCTTTTTCTTCCTACGTGCGTTTACAAAGATATCCTTCTTCTTGGGCCGCTCTATCGGAGATTGCAAATCATCAGACTATATTGATCTTAGTAACCATTGACGCAAAGAGCGTTTGTAGTGTAACAAAACTATTCTCCGAAATAGTAAGTATAAGGACAAGTGTGAACGGTCTTTGTACATAATTGAATGTAAAAAGGGCTGATTATTACGTTTAATTTGAATGTATTATGTAAAATAGGTAAGAGCAATATTTTTGTGTATAAAAGGTTAAAGATTATTCAAAGTTTATTATGATTTTCAACTATTGCTTACCATTCTGGATCACTTGCAGGCCTATCTAAAATTTCCAATCGATCGCCTTTTTCAAAGGATAATTCTTGTTCGTTCGACGAAGAAAACGAATAGAGAGCCACAACTATATCCAGGACATTTTCTGCCATTGCATATGTATGGACAGTATCATCGATATCACCTTCTTCTTGGGTATAGTTCGATGGGAACCATCCCGATATGTTGCTACTTTGACCTCTCCACCACCCTAGAAAAAAAAATATTAAAATTGTCTTCAAAATTACAAGTTAAGTGGTGTAAATTATATCAACTACCTAATTCAAATAATGAAAAAATGGTACAGATCCTTAATTACAAGAAATTCTCTCTTTCTCCTTAAAAATACAATCAGCTCCTAATGTAGTGAATTAATGAATCTACAATTTGTTTAGTGGCTTTTGTGTGACGCGTTTTTCTATGTTAATTGTAATTTTGGCATTTCTGTCTTTTAATAATTTTATTTTGTCATTAACGAATTCACAAGCCTACAATTTTTAACCAATTTCTAGCGAAATTACATCAAAATTAGGTTTTCATTTATTTATTTACCGTCTATTTTAAGAGCCAAGCCTCCAAAATCATTTAGCACAGGTTTTCAATACATCAATAAATAACACACATTTTAAAAACTATACCTCTAGAATAAGTGTAAATAGCTTCATAAATACATCATTTATACTGTTACAAATAATAAAATCAATTTAAGTATTTTCCATCAATCACAACAACAAAAGGTAGCTCCTATAATGTCTCCTCAAGATACATCCCTTGTATGTCGATGTATATGTTAAAACCTAAATGACCTGACGACGCCCCTGTCGTCTTTGGAAAAGAAATTAAACAATTCATCAGTGAATACTCATCATTGAATCATATGACTAAACTTCTTTCAAATTCAGTATCTCATCCAGACTTCTTTCTTCCTCGTCATTGCGTTTACAAAGCTAACAAGATTCGTGTTGTATTTGACGGATTTGTTAAAACTGACACTGGCTTTTCTTTGAACGATATACTCATGGTAGGTCCTACACTACAAGACGATCGTTTCACAACTATTTTACGTTTTCGAAAACACAAATTTGCTTTAACTGATGATATCAGCAAAATTCTTATAAAAGAAAATCAGCGTTGTTTACAAAAAATATTGTGGCGATCTGATTCAAATTCATCTATTGAGACATACTTTAGGTACTGTAACTTATGGCACTGCTTCTGCCAGTTTTTTAGCAACGCAATGTGCGCAAGAAGTAGCTCACATTTACTGTGACAAATTTCCTGATATTTTGTCTATCATTTTACGCGATTTTTACGTAGACGATCTTCCTACCGATGCTTCCACCTTAGACGAACTTAAACATATTCAGTCTTTAATAACTGAATTACTTTTAAAACATCGCTTTCATTTAAGTAAATGGAAATCAAATTCAACCGAATTAAAAATCGAGGATATAGATAATAGTCCTTTGGACATAGGTTCCAATGAAACTGTCAAAAGATTGGGTCTCTTTTGGAATCCCAAATTAGACGTTTTCTTCTTTAATGTTCAACCTACTGCAAACCATTCTAAGATTACTAAGAGACACATTCTTTCTACAATTTCAAAGATATTTATCCTCTTGGTCTCTTAGCAGCAGTCACAATAACCGCTAGATCATTCTACAAGACTCATGGCATCTAAAAACTTCCTGGGATGAAGTTGTACCTATGGACATTCTTACAAAATGGTCAAATTATCAATCTCAAATTATCAATCTCAAAAAAAATTGGAACCTGGAATGCAAAATCTCTCTATATGCCAGGAAAATCTCATAACATCGTGAAAGGAAATGAAAAGAATGGGAGTCAACATTCTCGGAGTCAGTGAAGTCAGATGGCCTGGATCTGGACAGACAAACATCGATAACCATGTGATATACTATGCTGGTAACGACGATCCTCATCATTATAACGGAGTGGCATTTATAGTTGACCAGAAAAGCAGTAAATGTATAAAGAACTTTATACCTATATCTGATAGAGTAGCTATGCTGCAAATTAATACCACTCCTCGTAATATTAACCTTATTCAAGTGTATGCTCCTACAGCAGAAAAACCAGAAAGAGAAGTACGAGAATTCTACCAAGAGATCAAGCAGCTAATGAAGATCACAAAGAAAAATGCTGTAAACATTATTATGGGAGATTTTAATGCCAAAGTAGGTGAAGGGCGGACCGAAGACGTAGTAGGAAACTTTGGTTTGGGCCAAAGAAATGATAGAGGAGAAATACTGGTCCAATTTTGCCAAGAAGAAAATCTAATGATCGCAAACACCTGGTTTAAACAACCCAAAAGAAGGTTATATACATGGAAAGCACCTGGCGATAATCGAAACCGCATAATAAGAAACCAGATTGACTATATATTAATTGAGAAACGTTATAGAAATGGAATCAAGGGAGTTAAAACATATCCCGGGGCGGACATCGGTTCCGACCACAATCCTGTTGTTGGTAAAATTTTAATTAGACTAAAAAAAATCAAATACAGAAAGAATATAAAACCTAACCTAGAAAAACTTAAAGACCCAATAGTACAGGCAGAAATAGAGAAAAAACTCAATGATACACTCAAAGAAAAGTTCAGAGAAACCCCCGCGGAAGCAGAAGAGACAATAGAAAGTATTTGGCACACCTTCAAAACAACGATGACAACTATACAAAGAGAACAACTACAAGACAGCACCAGAAAAACAAAGAATACATGGATGACAGAAGAAATCCTAGAACTGATGGACATAAGGCGATCTTACAAAAATCGTAATGTAGAAAAATATAAAGAAACCCAGAGAATCATCCGAAACAAAATTAGGAAAGCCAAAGAAGAATGGATGAGCAGCAAGTGTGAGGAACTGGGACATTTACTAAAAAAGCATGACTACTTTAATGCCTACAAAAAGATTAAGGAAGTCACAAATATGAAGAAAAAAATCACTACAACAACTTTAGTAGATGATAACAACGAAATAGTATCTAGTCCAGAAGAAGTAGGAGACATGTGGGAAAAATACATCGAAGATCTGTTTGATGACGAGAGAACAGAACCACAAATGAATATAGTACAAGAAACAATACTTGATATATTAACATCTGAAGTTACAAAAACAATCAATACGGCAAAGTCACGAAAAGCCTCAGGTCCAGATGAAATATACGTAGAGATGATAAAGCTCATCAATGAAGAAAATCTTCAGACATTAACAATATTATTTAACAAAATATATACCACTGGAATCTTCCCAGAAGACTGGCTTAGATCGACATTTATACCTATACCCAAGAAAAATAAAGCAAATAGATGCTCACAGTTCAGATTAATTAGCCTGATGAGCCATTTTCTGAAAATTTTACTCAAAATTGTACATCAACGAATATACAGAGAATGCGAAAGAAACCTTAGCGACAATCAATTTGGATTTCGTATGGGGCTTGGTACAAGGGAGGCATTATTTGGCCTCCAGGTATTACTACAAAAATGCCGAGATCAGCGAAAAGACGTCTTTCTCTGTTTTATCGACTACGAAAAAGCGTTTGATCGAGTTAAACACACAGAACTCATAGAAACCCTAACACAACATGGTATAGACCATAACACTGTAGCACTTATTAAAAAACTATATTGGGATCAAATGGCATCTATCAAAATAGACAATCGTCTGACAGCAGAATTGCCAATAAAAAGAGGAGTTCGTCAGGGCTGTGTACTTTCTCCACTGTTATTTAATATATATTCCGAAAAGATCTTTCAAAATGCCCTCGAAAATATTGAAGAAGGAATAAAAATCAACGGAGAATACGTAAACAACTTAAGATACGCAGACGACACCGTCATTATTGCGGACAGTGCTGAGGGTTTACAACGACTTTTGAATGTCATAACCAGAGAGGGAGATAGCTTGGGACTAAATATAAACACAAATAAAACAAAAGTGATGGCTGTTACACGTACACCAAATGTCGACATTAATATTCGTATCTATAACAAACATATAGAACCAGTACAAAGATTCCAGTATCTTGGTTGCTGGATAACAAACGATCTTGACCACGAGGTCGAAATACGTGCTCGTATAGAATATGCTAGGTCCGCATTTCAGCGAATGAAAAAATTTCTAATAAACTCTACGTTATCGTTGGACATCCGATACCAATTTGTAAAAACGTTTATTTATTCCATATTGCTATACGGAGTGGAAACATGGACTCTCGGAATTACAAGTATGAGGCGTATAGAAGCCTTTGAGATGTGGGTTTTTCGAAGAATGCTGAAGATCTCTTGGACAGAGCACGTGACCAACAACGAGGTGCTAAGAAGAATGGGTACTGACAGAGAACTCCTAAATATTGTAAAAAACCGAAAAACGAGTTATTTAGGACATATCTACAGAGGAGAAAAATACAACTTCCTACGACTTATAATGGAAGGGAAAGTGGAAGGAAGAAGAGGTCCAGGAAGAAGAAAATGCTCCTGGTTGAAGAACATAAGAGACTGGACAGGCATGGACACACATGCGATACTAAGAACAGCTCAAGATAGAGAGCAATTTGCTGTAGTTATAGCCAACCTTCAGTAATGGAGAAGGCACCTTAAGAAGAAGATCAATCTCAATTAGTCAATCTTAATAAATTATAATTTTCTAATAAATTACTGTTTCCAATTTTACATCCATACAATTACATGGATTTTCCGATGCGTCTACTGCAGCATATGGTGCTTGTATTTTTATTCATTCCTTAGATGCCCAGGGAAATATAAGTTGTCATTTACTCTAAAACCAGGGTAGCTGCTTTGAAACATATTCTTACAGTTTATCGACTTGGAACTTTCCGGAGCCCTACTCTTATCTGAATTGATGGACAAAGTAAAGCAATCACTACAAATTAATTTTGATGAAATTGTTTATTGGTCTGATTTTAGCATTGTTCTGGCATGGATCAATACACCTTCCGACTTGTTAAAACTTTTCGTTGCAAATAGGATTTCACAGATTTAATCCTTGACAAATTCTAATTCCTGGAGATATATAAAAACACAGGAAAATCGTGCAGATTTATTGTCACGTGGTATTTCACCCACGGCACTACAAAATTCTGATCAATGGTTTTATGGACCCCATGGCTTTCATTGGCTGAGAATTTCTGGCCTCATCAACCCTTCAAACAGGTTAATATTCCTGAGCTTCGATCTACTGTTAATCTATCCGCAAGAATTTGCATGAATCTCGACATCACTCACACAATTTCTTGCTTAACTAAATTACAACGAATTGTAGCCTATATATTACGTTTTTGCAAAAATTCCAGGCTAACCATGCCAGAAAAAACCTTTAACGATTTAACATGTGAAGAAATTGCCTGTTCTCTGATTTGTCTTATTCGCATTGTGCAAAATCAATATTTCTCTGATGATCTCACTTCTTCTTCTTCAAGTGTCGTCTCCATCAATGGAGGTTAGCGGTTATGGTGGCAAACGTTTGTCTATCTTCAGCTGCTGAACCTCACACATCTCACACATCTCATCAAAACCATGGCAAGGTCGATCATAAAAACAAACTTCTCACCCTGAACCCTTTTATTGATCAAGATGATATAATTCGAGTTGGTGGAAGAATTCACAAAGCTGACATCTCATACGAGAGAAAGCATCCAATCGTTATTCCACAAAAATATCATTTTACAGACATACATTGTACAGCATGAACACATGAAATTACAGCATGCTGATTCACAGCTACTTTTATCTTCCTTGCGAGAGAAATATTGACCTCCCAATGGACGCTATGTCATTAGAAAGGTTGTTAGAAACTGCATCACATGTTTCAAGGCAGCTCCAAAACTCAAAACTTATTTAATAGGAAATCTACCTTCTTCACGTCTCACTCCTTCATGACCCTTTACCCACTCGGGACTTGATTATGCGGAACCCTTTCTTTTAAAGGACCATCTTACGAGAAACTACTAGACTATCAAGGGTTATGTAGCACGTTTTATTTGTCTGGTCACAAAGGCTCTACACTTGGAGGTTGTGAGTAGTCTGACTAAGGAATGCTTTATAGCAGTTTTAAGACGTTTTACTTCTCGACGGGGTAAATGCGCTTCTATTCTTTCCGACAATAGGAGCCTCTTTAAAGGTGCCAACAATGAACTTTCCAACTTTTTCAATACTAACAATTCTGACTTACATAGCACACTTTCTTCTGAGGGTATCGATTGGAAATTCATTCCGCCGCGTTCACCTCACTTTGTTGGTATCTGGGAAGCGGGGGTAAAATCGGTAAAATACCATCTTAAACGAGTCATTAGCAACACGGATCTCTCCTATGAAGAGTTTTCCACTGTTTTGAGTCAAATTGAAGCAATTCTCAATTAAAGACCTCTTTTTCCTATGTCTAATGACCGCTCAGACCTACTTCCTCTCACACCTCCACATTTTCTGGGTGAATCACCTGACCGTGATCTGTTCCTGACCGTGATCTGTTAGATGTTATAAAAACAGATTGAGCAGATTTTAAATAGTGCAGCTAATGTTTAAATAGTGGTGCAATGTTATTGGACACGATGGTCCAAAGAATACGTCTCTTCTCCTCAGTAATGCGTCAAGTGGAGAAACAATGCAGTTCCCTTCTTAATATTGGTTCCTTAGTACTTGTTAAAGAAGATGGACTGGAACCTCTTAGATGGGCCTTACGTAGAGTGACTGACATCCATTCCGGCAGTGGCGGAATTGTGCGTAGTGTAACGCTCAAAACAAACTCTGGCATATACAAACGTCCGGTTGTGAAGTTATGTGTGCTATCGAACGAATATCAACTTTAGTTTTTTTATGTCTTTTGATAAACTTTATAATTTCAGCTCAATATTGATTTGTGGACTTTATACATTGGGTTTTTGAACTCCCTTATGGCATTCAAAGGGGGCGGCTTATGTTAAAACCTAAATGACCTGATGACGCCCCTATCGTCTTTTGCAATTTGATCCCAGCGACAGCTTGTCGCGAAGGTTCCTGATAACGGGTTCCAGTTACGGCTTATTTTAAAGACATCTGGCTGAAATCAACCCTCCTTCGGTAAAGACATTATATTTCACGACATCTAACTAGCAACATATATTAATAATATATTTGTAACATTTATTTTTATTTCTTTATTACAAACAATTAAGTTTCTTTATATTTTTACGTTTACGTTTACATAGAAGTATTAAACAGTTTCATTTACGGTCTTGAGTTCTTTACTAAAACCACAGGAAGTCCTAATACTATTAATCAACAAGTAACTGGAAGAATTCAAGATTCCGTTTTCCATTGAACAGTTAGCACAACAGTATAATAAGTTGAACATCCATATACAAAATTACATCTTAACAACAAACTGTACCGGAATCATTTTAAAATTTTGCTGGACCGGTGAGCTGATGATGACCAGAAAACTGCAGTGGTCGAAACCACTCGTCACAAGCTAAATGAATAGATTTTGAGTCACTCTGTAATTTATTTCTATAACCATGTTTAACTAATTCAAATTTAACTTACCATCATTGCTCTTTTCTAAAATAAGAATTCTAGAACCTTTGACAAGTGACAATTCGTCAGGTTGTTGAGCCTGATAGTTATATTTGACAATAGCTACGCCAATCGCCTCAGAAGGATCAGCCGGTAGACGCCGCGCCATGTTTGGGGACTCTACCGTACGTGAAGGTGAATTGTTTGATGGAAGCGTTTTCGAACCGGAACCCTTTTTCACCTGAAATAAAAATCGGTATTTATATGTCGACTTAATATAAACTGACAATACCACGAGATAAATTTATTGTTAATACATTATTCCCAAAGTGAGAACATTATAAATATACCTTTTTATTACTTATTATTTGCAATAAGACAACAACTTGTTTGGGCATGCTCTATCATCAATTAATCTTTTAAAATACGAATTTAAAATAATTTTATGATAAATATTGATATATTTATCCAAATAAAATTATTAATATTATTTACCCTGTAAGTTGAGTATTTAACAGTCATTTTTGAAACTAAATTTTTTATAAATTTGTCTTGGTCAACTTAGTTACGAAATTTTCTTCTCGTAATTCTATTGTACTGTACTCCAGTCGTCAAACGCGAAAATACCACTAAACCTCTAAAAGCATACGAAGAAGCTGAATTTTGCTCAGAATGTTATTTTTGGGACCACAAAAAGATGCAAAAAAGTTTACCGCTACAACCCCCAAGCTTCTACCTAAAATACCCCCACGTAAGTGGGGGATAGAAGCTATTCGAGAGACTCAAGTAAAATGTTGCCCTAAAAGACGCCAAGACGAAAAAAATAACCATTGAAAAAGCAACTAATGGAAACTAGAAGAGAAATCAAAGGAAACGAAAACATTGACGAAGAAAAATTACAAAAAATAAATAAAGAAGTATCAAAAGCTATAAGGAAAAATTTAAGAAAATTTAAGAATGAAAAGGTCCAGCGAACTATTGAAGAGAATTAAAGTCTGAAAGTCTTGAGAAGGCGGCTAAACAATGGAAAATGTGAAATACACAAACTAATGAACAAATAACGAGTCCCTTTATCAAATAGACAAGAACTACTACACATAGCTGAAGACTTCTACCAAGAACTATACATATCTATAAGTCAAAGAGAAGACCAAACGAATCATCAACCAGGGTTCAGAGATGATGCGAGATCTCACTAAGGCATGGGCGGACGTGCCATTCTCAACCAAATAAAAAATTTTTGTCTAACCTTTGTCTAACAGATTGTTGCATATCGGAAACATGGAACAATGTATTAACAAATTTATTACGCACCTAGACAAGCAGACAATGTGCACCTAGAAGACACATCTATAGCATGTTTACCCGAATAATTAGGACAAGACTAGAAGAAAAGTTGGATTTCTTCCAGCACCGAGAACTCAAGGCTTTCGCTCAAAATTCGGAACAAATGATCACCTACAAACAGTAAAAACCTTAATAGAAAAATCGACAGAATATAACAGATCACTGGTACTTATCTTCGTAGACTTTCACAAAGCCTTCGATACCGTAGAATTAGACAGCATTATAACTACTCTGAACAATAGTAGAATAGACTACCGGCTTAAAAGTTAGTACAAACATTGTACCAAAATGTCACAATGCGTGTAAAACTACATGATACCACCAGAGAAATTCATATAAAGCGAGGTGTGGGAGAGGGCGATACTCTCTCACCTTAATTATTTATAACGGTCCTCCAATACACCTTTAAAATGCTTAAGTGGGAAAATAGAGGAATAAAAATAAACGGGGGGGGGGGGCTCATTCATCTGCGTTCTGCTGACGATATAGTACTTATTACCGAAGATCTGCGTGAAGCACAACAAATGCTACAAGAATTAGACAACATATATTTAACAATAGGTCTAAAATGAACATCAGGAAGACCAAATTTAAAATAAATTTGGTTCCCAGCGAACGCCTAACCATCCAAAATCAAGTGGAAGAATTGACAGAAAAGTACATATATCTCGGTCATGAAATCGGAAAAAGCAAGGATAATCAGACCTGTGAATTTCAACGACGAATAACACTAGCTTGGGCAGCGAATGGTTCACTAAGAAACATAGGTATTTAAGAGCAACATCCCGATAGTTATGAAACGGAAGACATTTGACCAATGCGTTCTTCCTATTATCACATACGGAGCAGAAACTATGACACCTCCTCATAAATAAAGACGGTAATCTGGCGACGACAGTGAATGAGAAGTTGGTTACCTGGAAAATATATATATATATTATATATATATATATATATATATATATATATATCAAAGAACTTTTCTGGGACGACTGAGGCAACCTTCCGCAAATAAATTGCATGACAGGGCCGTCAATTCTAGAAAGCGAGGTAAAGGCCGCTTTAAAACAGTTTAAGAATGGTAAGGCTACAGGTCCGGACGAAATACCCGTTGAACTTATTAAGGTGATGAGTGAAGTGAGCACGAAGGAGTTAACTGAACTGTTCAACGCCATATACTATTCAGGTAATATCCCAGAGGAATGGCTATTGTCAACATTTGTAACGCTACCAAAAAAACGATTTGCGAAAACGTGCGAAGATTTCCGAACTATCAGTCTTATGAGTCATGCACTTAAAATTTTTCTTAAAATCATACATGCCAGAATTTACAAGAAATGCGAAGAAAATGTCGGTGAAATGTAATTCGGATTCCGCAATTCCATGGGTACACTTTTCACCTTACAAGTCCTACTTCAGAGATGCCGCGATGTCAGTTGTGATGTCTATATTTGTTTTATTGACTACGCCATCATGAATTTATACTGGAACCAGCGTGCTCAAGTCAAGGTCGAAGACCAGCTGACCGACCAAGTGAAGATCATGTGAGGAGTAAGGCAAGGATGTGTGCTATCGCCGACTCTTTTCAATATATTCTCTGAGGAGATTTTTACTGAAGCCCTCACAAACCTAGAAATAGGAATCCGAGTGAACGGTGAATACATCAATAATATCCGCTACGCCGATGACACTGTGTTACTAGCAATCAGCCTAAACGATCTGCAGGCCTTACTAGACCGAGTGTGAACTGTGAGCGTAACATACGGACTGAACCTTAATATTAAGAAAACTAACTCACAATGGGACCCTCAACTCTCAACTCACATCACAATGGGACTACGCTCAAGAGATTAGATCCAGAATTGAAATGGCACGGTCTACATTTATGAAGTTGAGATCCTTGCTGTGCTGCAGTGATCTCAGTTTGGGAACCAAGATGCGGATAGTTTGGTGCTACGTTCTTCCAGTGTTACTATATGGAGTTAAAGCCTGGACACTGACGCGAGCCACTGAAAAACGAATCGAAGCCTTCGAGATGTGGATATACAGAAGGATACTAAAAATATCTTATGTGGACCATGTCACCAACGTTGAGGTCCTACAGCGCATGACAAAAGAAAAAGAAGTGCTTAATTTAATTAAACAACGTAAGCTTCAGTACCTCGGCCACGTGATGCAGAACGAAGAAAAATATCGAATTCTTCAACTCGTTATGCAGGGTAAAGTATTTGGCAGAAGAGGACCGGGACGCCGTCGTATCTTGTGGTTGAAAAATCTCCGACAATGGTTCGGGATGACCTCAGCGGAGCTGTTTCGCAGAGCAGTCAACAAAACCATAATAGCCTTGATGATCGCCAACATCCGGACCGGATAAGGCACTGAAGACGAAGAAGGAGCAGAAACTCTAACAAAAACAGCACTAAAAATGCGAGTGACACAAAGACGCATGGAAAGATCGATTTTCAGCGTGACAAAAAAAGATAAAATAAGGAACCAAGACTTAAGGAAAAGAACAGGTATCACTGATGTCGTCGAACGTATAGCCAAGCTGAAATGGAATTGGGCAGGTCACATGGCGAGACTAAAAGACTCAAGATGGACCAGAAAACCAATTGACTGGCGCCCAAGAGAAGACAATCGCAACAGAGGACGACAACCAACACGCTGGATAGACGACTTTAAACGAATATCCAAGAAATGGTAACAAGACGCACCTATGTCTAGCAGTGCACAAAAGAGGTTGCATGATGAGGGGGGATGTTTCAAACAAGAAATGGCTGAGATAATTTTGAACAAAAATGTTTGATGAAAAAAACATTTTTTCTGTTGAATGAACTGTTCTCTCAGAAACAACGCTTGAAGAGACCTGCGATTTTGCCGCCAATTTAGTCAGTTTCTATAAAGCTGTTAAATAAAGAAACGTTACGCGATTTTGAAATTTTTTACTTAATAAAATGTATCACTTTCATTGACCGGCCGCTATGGAATTTTCATTGTTAGAGCATAATATTAAGTATTAAATTTCAATTTTGAGTATTGACAACAAATATGAGGCATTTGCAATATGCTTAAAAAACACTGAATTCAAACTTACATATTATTACACGTTTCAGCTACAAATTCCACCCAATGACCTCTTCGTGAAAGCATTTCTCATGACGCGAGATTGTTTGTAATGTGAAAGTTTAAATCCAGCATTTTTTAGACATAATTCAAATGCCTCATATTTATTGCCAAAACTCAAAATCAAAGTTTTATATTATAAGTTTTGACGATTGGGCTCTAACAATGGAAATTCCACAACGACCGGTCAATGGAAGTGATAAATTTTCTTCATCTCATTCTACAGAAATACAGAAACAATTCTACAATCTACAATTCTACAGAAAAAGTGCTTATAAACATTTTTGTTAAAAATTATCTCAGCTACATTCTCTCTTTGTCAACCACTTTCCATCGACTCCTGCATGTATCTTTCTCTATCTTGCGCCAATCTAATCCACTGTTTGCCTGCCACTGCTCTTATGTGATCTACCCATCTTTTTTGAGGTCCTCCCATGCTTCTTGTTGTCGTCTTTGGTCTCCATTCTAGAATTCTCCGTGTCCACCTGTTGTCTATATAGAAAATCTATATAAAATCACAAAGCACGAGATCTAAATTTGTGGATAATAAAACTTTTAATAAGGAAAGTAGGTTTAGAAACAGTTAGAATCTATAGGACGAACTAAACGCCAAATAGATGAAATAAAATGTATAAATTAAACATACAAGCAGGTCTAGAGTCAATATTTAAGAACACTCAATGGCAAGATATGGGTATCAATATAGATGTAGAAAGATTAAATTATCTGAGTGTGCAGATGAGATTGTATTAATCGCCAACGACAACTTACAAGATACAGTTTCTATGATACATTCACTTAAAACTCTGTCTGAGAGAGCAGGATAAACTATTGACAATAATACCATACAACAAACACTTAAACATATCTAGGACACAAAATCAAAAGCAGGGACCATCATACACACAAAATACAGAGGCGAATAGGGATGAAATGGGCAGCATTTGCCAAGCGAAAGATTTATAATCAATGTGTGTTCTCGTACAAACTTCTGGAGCAGAGACGTTAACACTGGCGCAAAAATCTGCTAACAAACTCAGAATTACACAACGAGAACGTTCGAAGACCACATAACAAACCAACACACCAGACAAAGATCTGGAGTTCAAGAAGTCATTGAAAGAACCACGACGCTTACGCGGAACTGGGCAGTTAGAACACAAGATGGACGGTGGACAAGAAGAATTATGGAATAGAGTCCCAGAAACTATAAAAAAAGCTAAGGACCACCATCGACATGATGGACCGATGACATGAAAAGAGTATCGGGAAAATAGCTACAAGCAGTCCACCGTAGAGGAGAACACTGGAAAGAAGTGAGGGATTTATTGGTTATTTATGATATGTGAGGGGATAAACACGAAAACGGGATTAAAACAATAAATTCCTAGTGCACGAAATTGATGTAAAATATACTAAAAAAAAAATAATTCGATAACTAATTAAACAAATAATGTTCTAAAGCTATTTATATTAAACAAGTACAACAAAACCATATCAGAGAACATTCAAATAATACTACACTAACCTTTTTCTTTATACTGTCAAATAACGATGGCTTTTCTTTCTTTACGTAGTTGCTTGGTACATATCCTGCTTGTCCCCTCGAATTTTGTACTTTCCACCAATGTTTAGAATCGTCTAAGAGAACGTAGCGCTCGTTCTTTTTGAGATCTAATTCTTGAGGTCCTTGGTGTTCGTAATCATATTTCGCCACCACGTAACAAATGTCGTCTTGGCTACTTTTGCCTACATAAAAGAAAACAGATCTTAAAATTTGCCTGAGTTTACTAAAGTCAAACATTATTTTAATTTTTAAGTCCAAAATGTAAGGTTATGTTTTTTTTTATTACAGAACATTATAGAAACAAAAATAAAACCTCTAATTAGTAATTAGGCCAGTTATTTAGTTTGTAATAATAATAAAACCTTTTCTATTTATTTTGACAATCGAATAGGTACATGAAACATCACTAATATATTTTTAATTCTTTGCTACGACAAAAGTTTTCTTCTTTTTCTTATTAATTGAGAACTAAATCCTGTTTATTCTTACAACTAAGTCTTGGGGCTTCGATGTCCAGCGCCCGTATCATCGTTTTGGAGGTCTCCAGATGGTCTCGATGTATTGGATGTTTCAGACTTGCAATTGTTTCGAGCCTCTCATCGTGCATTCTATTGATGTGGTCTGTCCACTCCCTCCGTCTCTGTCTAGCCCATCTTACGTTATACTGGACGCAGCATTATCTTACAAACTGCTTTTTCAGTTCCTAAGAATGTAACCAGCAATGGACCTCAGCGTACTTATTTCAGTTATCCTTATGAGCTTCTTGGTTGCAACTGTTTCCGAACTGGTCTCGATAGGATAGGTCATTACTGGTCTCACGCAGGTCCTATATGTTCTCACTTTACTTCCTATGCTCATGTAGTTGTTCCTCCAGATAACGTTACGTAGGTATCAAGATATCATTGCTGTTCTGTCAGTTTATGCTTTGACTTCCTCCTTGAGGTTTCTGCTACTGGTAATGTTGACTCCTAGATATTTGAAGTATATAACTTGCTCAACGGCAGAAGTCAATATGTCTAAATACTGTTTTTGCCTGGCTTGTCAGTTAGTAACACTATTTCATATTGAAAAACATGAATATCAGTTGGTAAGATAAAAAATTTGGTAACGTTAAAATAACTTTCTATTATTATTTTGAGATTATTTCATTGATTTCAAGTACATTGTAAACTTATAATTGCTGTTATGAAACTAGACGGACAGGTCAAAATTTTCTATTTAAATATAGCCGTCTACAACATTATTATAATACTTTTTTATACTTGATAATCAGTACGAATGGATCTTAAAAAACATGAAGATTATTTTAACTTGAAAACGAATGACACTAAAATATTTTAAAATGACAGTACCGCAAACGAAAAAAGTAAGTGGAACTCATTAAATAATTAGAATGGGTTAAAACTTTACTACTTATTTGTAAATATTATAAATGCAAGTACATAAAAACCACAGATAAGAAGTAGAGGGAATTCCAATGCAGATTTTTACCAAATGATGATAACGTTCTATATTTCAGGTATCACTTTCATAAATTATTTTTATTTACAGATTTAGTTGTTGAAAACTCTAGCACCTACATATAATTTAATAGGTATATCGTAGATTCTAATAGCAATATAATTATTTACGTAGAAGGGAGCTCTGTCTTCTAGAAATGTTGTATGGAATACTTTTTCATATCATACTTATATCTATTCATGATATTTTAATCATTTGAAGCCCGAACTTCGAAAGATTCAAGTTTGCCAATACCAATGAGGAGTTTCTAGCGGCACACCTCCTCGGAGGACGAAGAGCGAATTGCCTCTGAAATATTTGGGGTACTAAAGAAATATTTATGGCGAACCAAAACTACAGTAATATGGTCAGTATACAGTAATAGCCACCAGCACAACGGGAGTGCTAAAAATCCTTTGGAGAGAAAATTTAAAAAGCTAGGGAAATCGAAATTTGGAATGGTCCTAACATTAGAATGAAGAAGCTGAAGTTCGAAAAGTAATATATTTTAAGATAAGGTAAATGACCAGTCATTGCCACTATAAGAAAATAAAAGCTAAAAACCATATAAAGCCAAAAAACCAATAATTGCCACACAATTTTTCAAAATACCAATTATTGCCACCCAGTCATTGCCATACAGAAATAACTCTACATTTTACTGAAAAATCTTGTTTATTAATAAAAATTCCACAGGTTTTAGGCCTCAAATACATCCACTGGCAAAGTAAATTCATAACGGATCCGTTCACCAGTGGATAAAATAATAGGGGTCGGCGGTATGCCTAAAACACGATTTTCGTTAACAAAGTAGATGTATTTTTCATCACAAATAAAAATGTTCTTTTCAACACTAACAGATTTCGTAGACATTACTTGTACATCATTATTGTCCATAAGGCCTTGGATAATACAAACATATCTGTATGTTATGGATTTTTTACCACCTAGTATTTTCACAAGTACATAGTTACCCACACTAAGTTCTCCGTGAGTTAATGGGCAAAATTCTTTGTTAGGGTCATCACAAAAGTCTATGTCATCACAGCTGCTACCACTCTCGACCCACTCTTCATCCTTTCCGTCGTCATCAGAAATATCCCGTTTTAGCTTCTCTTTCAATAGACATTCTTGCAATTTTTCTTTGGTTTTTTCTTCTTCTTTCTTTTTCTTTTCATTTTCTTTTTTCAAGTGATATTCACGCCAAGCTTCTGATTGTACCACGGATGGAATCTTTTCCTTTAGTTTTATCTTCTTTGTCTGAGGTTTTGGGTGTGGACAAAACAGTGCTTTCTTAAACGGGGTAGGAACTTTGCATGGACTCCCCAAGTGTACATGTGATGTACTTGGTTCAGGAGTAGACAATATATCTGAGCTATGAGTACCAGAGATATTTGGTTGGAAATTTTTTACTGGTGTGCAGTTGAGTTGGAAATATGTTAATATTGTTTTGGATGGTACATTTAATTTGGTTTGGTAGTGTTTCCATTGTCCATTCTTTCTATATGTTAAAAAGGGATTTATCCTTAATAGAACCATTCCAATCCTGAATTCCTGATTTAAAGTTACCTTGAACCTATTTAAAGTTTCTTCAGCCGGCTTTCCTTCAAAATACTTAAGTGCTTAAGTGACACTCTTTGTGTCACAAAGCTTGTCAAAAACAAGTCAAGATCAAGATCAACAGTCATCAAGATAATTACTCACTATGGTAGCGGTGTATGGGCGAGCATTATCGTGCATTAACATGAATCTTTCATATCCAATGTTACCAACATATGGCAAAACATGATCTTGCAGGATATTTTAAACTTGCAGGATATTTTAAACATAAGAGTCACTAGTCACATATCCAATCATTTCCACAAGTGCGGAGCGTACCTCCCAACTAATACCTTTCCAAAGAATTACGCCCCCAGATCGAAAACTAACGGTCTGCGAAAACTAACAGATTGCAGCTAACAAATCGTTCTCCAACTCTTCGTAGACGTGTATCTTCCATATTAGTATTCTGGTCTCATCAATGAAAGGAACATTTTTCTAGTTGTCGATATTCCAGTGAATATGTGTTCTTGCAAATTCTAAACGACGAGCTTTATGACTTTGGAGAAGACGTGGAACTTTGGCCTAGTGTCTGGGCTTTTAGTTTGCTTCCTTTAATCTTCGGCTAACTGTTTCTGAACATACATTAACTTGTCTAACATTTAATAGCTCATTTCTGAGGTGAATCGATGTCAATGAACGATTTAGTGTGGAAATAAGAACCAAACGGCCATCAAGTGCGCCTGTGGACCTTGGACATCCATAAGCAGGCTTTTATACGAATTTCCTGTTTCGCGGTACCTTTTTAAAGTATTCGAAACTAGATTAACTTCTCCTGAGACATCGTGCGATATCTTTTTGTGCATATCCTTCCTCGTACAATATTACCATCTGTGCTACTTGGGCTTCATCGCAGTATCGAATTGGTGACATACTTATTTTAAACTTAGTTACATAATTTTTAATTAAACTCAATAAATTAAACGAAAAATAACAGAATTAGTATGTTTTTTCCTTTACGTGAAGAAGTTTTTTTATGATAAAGTGTACGAATGACACTAAACGCTGAATAAACGTCAGGATAAAGGTCAAAATATTTCAAACCAGTTAAGTACATCAACGTATTATGAGTATCATCAGTAATCTAAAATTGTTTTGAAATATAGTGACTACAAAAAAAATTGAAAATTCCAAAATATTCGATATTTTTGTCCATGAGTGTACATATTAATTTTCTCAAAAACCGAATGTAAGGATTTCCATTTTGACAATTTTTGCCGTAATAATTTTAAGTGCTGAATCGAAATCCGACGTCAGTTTTTCCCTAACTATTACAGTTTTTCAATGTTAAACCGCCCACTCACGATACTGCGGTGTTGTTCGACAAAATCATCGATGATATCAATTCTGCAGTACTGCATCATAGAAACCAGTTTCTCTGTGGTAAAATTGTAACGACTTTGTTGGATGCACAGTTACAGACGATCAAAATGTTTGTCAATTAGTCGAATTCGATAAAATTGAACGACGTCGCAGTATGTGAGTGGCCGGCTTAAGACTGGACAAACTGACGGACGAACAAACATAACCTATAGGATCGAAATTTTATTTACGTATGCTTATAAAATTAACGCATAATTTTAAAAACCCTGGTAAATCAAATAATTTTAATGTTTCGATTGTTGTGCTAATATATTATTGTTATCCCCGGTATATTGTAAAATGTATCGAAAGAACGGTAAAAAACGCTGATGTTTTCACCATTTTTTCCAAAAAAAAAATTAAAAACATGTTAATTGTGCTTCATTTTATTTCGAATTTAGTTGGGTTGGATTACGTTGTGCTGAACGTTAAAGAGGTTTTTTAAGTTTATTAAGTCTTTTTTCTTTGAAATGAACCATCAGCAGCAAGAAAATCGAAATTAGTCAGAATGTGACTGTTTTCGAATCGTTACTTTTCGCGAAGAAGGATACACTCAAGTAGAACTCGCTGAACGTTTTAACATCACCCAGTCAACCATTTCAAGAGTGTTAACACATTTTTCTGTTACTGGAAGTAACTCGAGAAGACACGATCAAGGCCGTAGAAGGGTTACAACTTCTAATCTAGACCGGTTTTTGACACTTCGTACACTGAGATAAAG